GTTGAGCCTCGCTGTCTCCGATGTCGGTGTTGGTTTGTTTGCTCAGCCATTTTACACTTCTCTTCTCGTCAGATTGTTACAACAGAACCATCTTGGCTGTAATTATTATCTTGTGCTGAATGTTTGTGGTTATTTCTTTTCACTTGCGTCATTCCTCGGTGTTGTTGCGGTTAGTGTGGATAGGTTCTTAGCTGTTCATCTTCATTTGAGATACCAGGAGCTTGTAACGTTCAAACGTGTTGTTGTTGAGGTGATGGCAATATGGACGGCTAGCACATTTCTGTCTTTTTTTATTTTGTGGGGGACAATTTCTCTTCGGGATTTTATTGTTTCTGCTACTGCAGCGATTGGTTTTACTCTCATGTTTGTGGTGTATATCAGAATGTACTTAATAATCCGACGCCACAAGAATCAGATTCGCTCTATGTTAGTACAAGATGTACCTCAGCCTGCTGAAATGACGAATTTTGCGGGCCTCATTAAATCTACTGTTGGTGTATTCTACGTATGCCTTATATTCCTAGCTTGTTATTTACCGTACATAATTTGTATAGCTGTTATCAAGATTAATGGCACAAGTACCACTTTAAAGAAATTTCATCTTTTTGCACTGACCGTCGTGTTTCTTAATTCATCATTGAATCCGGTCATCTATTGCTGGAAGATGAGACACATTCAACACGCTATCATGGAAATATTGCGAAGCATGTCTTGGCGTAGACGCCAACCTTCTCGCTTGCACTACGATCGGTCTTTAAGTTTTGTTCATGTTGACAACTGAACTCCTGAACTCCTGTTTTTAACAAGGACGTCATGCAGTCCGTACTCGCAGAGTAAATGAGGAGAAACGAGAACGTACTTAAAACTGAGTGATACAACGTCGTAAAAGCGATAGCGCAATTCCAATTTTTTGTGAAACAATGTGTGAGTGGCGTAAGGAGCTTTAGAAGTGCAGCGACTTTTTGCACAAACAGTAAATTTAAAGTTTGCAGAAGTAATGGACGCACGAATGAGTTCAAGATAACAGAAAATGCCAAGCGCTTCAAGGTTTTTGTCACTCTTTGAAATTAGAATGAAACTAGTAAAAAGAAAAATTGAACTTTCTAAACAAGGAACTTTGCAAAATGGATTTTCTCTGTTTTCTCATTTTTACTATAGCACTTATGTGTAGCCTACCAGTGTCAAATAGAATTAGCAGGAAACCTTGGTGAAATTTCTCAAGTAAATCTTTAATTCATTGTCGTTCCATCCTCATGTGTACGTAGCATATTTGTATGCACATATTTTGAAGAAAAAATTCGTCGCCTTTTGAATAACAAATCTCACTTGGACTTCCTTCTATGTGTAATTCTTTTCTTTGCCATCGATATTGTTTCTTCTTCATCAATGTCATCAACAAATCCGCCTAATTCTAATATCTACAGCATAAAACTAATGGTCAGTGCATGGACTCCGGGTCGAGGATTCGTCTGGGTTCTAGACGTAACTGGGTCAATGTGTTGTGTCAGTAGGCTCCAGTACAGACTTCACATTTTACCTTAATATGTCTTAGTTGGCGTCAAACTGTTTCGTTATTTTCAAACTTCAGTTCTTCAACAGATAAATACTGCCATAGTTTTTTAGTTATTCCTTTGAATTCAGAATCGAGATAATGCTCAGTATTGTTAACCAAGTTGTAACCAATTTTATTTTTACAAAATAGTTAACAAGACCACTTTTACTACCTTAGACTCAAGCCTACACTTCAGCCTTCCATTTATATTTGGAAGAAGATGCATCTTGATATACCAATTCCAATTCAGCTCTGGAGAAATTTTCAACTGAATGCAGAAAGTAAACCTAGAATGCGTTTTTTGGTATCCTTTGCTCTCTGATTGGCCCCGGAAACACGTGCCACTCTCTCAACCAATCAAATTCTAACCTAAAACCAATCGCACGCGGTTTTCTTGTTTTTACTTCGAGTTCTCATTGGCTCCTTGTGCTTTCTCTTCTGATTGGCTTTTAGAACAACGTGGTTTAAGTTTCGCGTCATTCAATCGAAAAGCACTTAGAGTAACGGCCGCACTGAATTTGGTTTGGAGTTACAAGCACATATAACGAAAATTACTACAGTTGAACCCCGGTAACTCGAATTACCAAGGGAAATTGAAATTACTTCGAGTTATCGGGGTTTCGAGTTATAGGGGTTTTGAACAAAAAGACCAGAAACACTTGATTAAACAGGGTCTATGCTTATAAATGTTGTATTGTAAGATTTCTCGCAATGTGAGAGCCAAAAACGACAAAACAAAACAAAGTTCAATTTTTCATAGTTAATAATATACATGGAAAAATTACTCAGTTCTGATTGGTTAAGATAAATGCA